AGAGAGGGGAGGGATGGAGGGAGGAAGAGAGAGAGGGGGTAGAGAGGGGGAGAGGAGGTAGGGAGAGGAGGTGGAGAGGGGGAGAGGAGGTAGAGAGGGAGAGAGGAGGGAGGGAGGGAGGGAGAGGGGTAGAGAGGGAGAGAGAAGGGAGGGAGAGAGAGAGAGAGAGAGAGAGAGAGTCTCGAACGTGTCCAAATATATATCTCACACGGGTTCTTCTAAGAAACAGTACTTTGGGGGTTCAAGAATTACAAGGTGCTTAAAGACATAAACCAATAGCTAAACCAATCAGTTTGAAGAACGTTGATGATATTCGGACAAGTGACGTCACCTCTTGGCGGACCACACAACATTGCACGACATGCTCCTGCATCAATTGCTCCGGACTGTAGTTGGTCAAAGGTTTATAAAGTTATGGTTAGGACTGCATTTGGGCTCGTAAGTTAGATTCAGGGTAAGGGCATGGGTTAAAGGGCATGTCCACTCCAAAAGTAATTCACTTTGAATAGAAGCAGAAACATGGCGAATAATTGTGCCCGTATACAACTCCCATGGTTACATTCAATAACATTCGATGAAGCAAAGTGTAGTAAGTGTATGAAAGTCAATTGTGTGAGCCTACGACTATCCTCCGTAAATTGCTCGAGGGAACTGCCCCCCCCCCCCCGAAAAGATCTAAAAATATATCAATGAATACAAATATGAATAAATAGATAAATAAATATAAAAAAAGGAACAAAATATTTTTAAAAATCAGTCCTTCTCATAGATAGCTGGTTAGGATTTGACCTGAGGTTGTTGAGGCACGATTTGACAGTATTACTGAGGTGTATAACATGTATAAGCGCATGTGTGTTTGATGTATGAACAGGGCCCATGGTAGAGATTAAGCGAACCTCTCAATATCCATATTAACGGTACCGCCCTGCTAAGGTTAAACTCAAATTAAATCAAACTTTCTTTCAACCTTAATGTATTTTCTTCCCCTCATTTTCATTTGTTTTAGAGACGTGTTACTGCATGGACCATGGCAGCGCGTTGTGATTTAATTGATTATAATTATTCAACCATCCTGATTGGAAGTATGACTAGAGAATTTGAAGAGAAATGTCTGCAAATCTAATTACAGCGATGAATGAAAATAATTAGGTGATGTTTATTTTCTGAGAGAGGGTTTCATTTTAAGTTGTGACGTCACATATAGAATAATATGTTATTTAAGTTTGAATGCCCTTTATTTTGTCATCGATATAGTATAGCGCCGCCCCCCCTCTCTCTCTCTCTCTCTATCTCTCTTCCTTTCTCTCTATCCCTCTATCTTCTTCCTTTCCTTCTCTTTCTGTCTCCCTCTCATTCCCTCCCTACTCTACTCTATTTCCCATAAGGTTAGGATATTCCATTATCTTAACATCTATATCACTTATTCATATAGAATTTAACTTTAATTCTACTTGATTACAATGAAAAAAGATGTTCTGTCCATGCCATAAACACATTTTCTTTGATATCAGAGGTCTTAAACAACCTGTATAGGCTACCAATGGCGTCCTTGTTTTAATATAGACTTGAAATTAAATTAAATCTTTACACGAAGCCATGCTTAAGAGCAAGGAATTGGGTACTTACCTCTTAAAACTGATAAATAAAATAATATGAATCCAAAGTTACTCCAAGTGAACAAACGGACCGCCATTTTCTCTCTTTACTTTCTCCTGGTCGCTCCAAATAATATTATGTCCAAATAATTAAAGAATACATTTCCAAAGCGAAGAAAATATATATTTCACGTGATATATAAAGTATATTTTATTCCCATTCGCACAAAGCTCTTCGCGTGAATGAACACTTTGCGATACATGCGTATATGCGTGCAAGAGAGTGAATTATGAAAACGGCTCGATCTTGCGGGGCGTGCACGGCTAACGCTGCGAGGCTTCCATTTCCGTGTGAGACAGATTTGAGTGAGGGGGGTAATGAGGGGCACTGCTTGGCTGGAGAGGGGGATTCAAGCGCTAAATCGGGACTTCCTCTGGCTTGCTGATTGCTTGTCCGGTTTCAGAGGAAGCCCATGTCCGTGAATGAATCTCACCAGGCCGGTAGACCAGAGTAATAAATGTTATTCTCATCTGACAAAACAAGACGTCGACCGGGCTTGATCCAAGACGAATGTCTTTATTTTGTCAAACTACAGGTGTAGAAAGCCCCCAATTTTTTTCTATTCTTTTTGCACACTTCTGAATGTATTTCTATTTCTTTTAAAGGCATTAGCTACGTATTAATTTGTTTCTTTTATAAAATATTTTAGCCTTCAGTAATGTTTGTATGTTAATATATTGATAAATCAGTGTTCCGCCGTCTCCCTCCTCCCTCTCTCTCTCTCTCTCTCTCTCTCTCTCTCTCTCTCTCCCTCAAAAAGCTTTCGGAAAATATGGACATGATTATGTGATTGTCTTTTCCTGTAATTAATTTTTCACATTTCAAAGTTCAAGCTTCTCCACTGAGGCAAAACAAAACAAAAGTTAAGACAAAAAGTGTCGCTCCCCACCCCCTTCTCTCCTCTCTCTCTCTCTCTCTCTCTCTCTCTCTCTTTCTCTCTCTCTCTTTCTTTCTCTCTCTCTTTCTCTCTCTCTCTCTTAATTAAAAGACTGTAAGTGTAAGGGAGAGAGCAAATGGGAAAGAAAGTGGGATATAAAGAGAGATGTATAGGGAAGTTAATTAGCAGAGACTATTTTACAAAGAAAGAGATAAATTCAGAGCAGAAAAGAGAGTGGGATTTTGAAGTGAGAGAAAGAGAGAAAGAGAGAGAGAGAGAGAGGAGGCGGGAGGAGAGAGAGAGGGAGAGAAAGAGAGAGAGAGAGAGAGAGACAGAGAGGGAGAGGGGAAGGCGGGAGACAGAAGAGACAGAACAATGGATAAGTGGGAAGTATTTATACATTTACAGCTGAAACATTTCTTATATCATGGCCGGGTAGTAAGAGAGTGGGAGTTAAAAAGAAAGTGAAGGAAAGAAAGAGAGGGGAGTAAAGTTCCTTCTTGAATGTAATGTGGGTTTTAAATCACATTTCCTGTTTCTTACTTTCAGTTGAAACATGACTCACAAACAACCTACGAGAATGCGTTCAGACTTTAACTAAATGAACACCTCCAATATGCCTTGCCACGCGTAATAAACGGTGTGATATAAGTCCCGTTGGAACACGCCTGCGCGTGCGAAAGAGAAAAGAGGGTATTTTCAAACTTTATAATTTATAATCCTTCTTCACGATCTAGAAAGCTTGTGAATATATATGGTTCAACGAGACAGCTGTTTCAACCACCATAAGTACAACTGCTTAATATGTCTTTACGTGATTTTCCCTCAACATAGTTTGATCGATTGGGTTGTCTGTTATTTCAAAATGTTTGTTGGTATCCTCCCCCTCCCCCTCCCCCCCCCCCCCCCCCCAAGTACCTGGAATCTTTGTGGAAGATATGTATTTACTTCTCGTCGGACTATCCTCATTTAGCGTGTGACAAAAGTTGTATCATAGACCAACATTAAAGGCACACTGCCATACTTGTAGCTACTTGCTCCCTCTATATAGAAAACTTCCCCAATCGGTGCCTGTTGGTCCCCCATGATCCTCTTTTTCTTATGTTAAATGAGAGCCGAGTTAATGAGATAGCCACCTGTCACAGTGACCTCGATGGCTCTCTGTGTGGTCTAATCCCTTCTGGCCCAGTAGTGGTGACGGTCTTTAAAATTAAAAATGCGAAGCGAAGTTTCTGTAATTGCTTTTAAAATGATAGCCCCACCAACGGCAGAAACTGTTCATTTACTTTTGTCATTGTGTAATAATGAGGCTAACTTCCGGAGCAAACTTCTTTTCGTCTTCCTTGTCACCACCACCACAATCATCACATCATCACCATCACCATCACCATCATTATCCTCATCATTGGAAGCGGTATCATCTCCATCATCACCACCATTATCATCATCACAATCATTATCAATATCATCATCACCGTTATCATCACTATCATCACCATAAATACTACTAGTGTTATAATGACTACTAATGTACAATGCAGGTGATTTAAATCAAATAATCTACCTTGTGGTTTTAGTCTAATTATCAATACAAATAAAGGAAAGTGTCAACATGTATAAAAGAAAGAAAATGACAACAAATTAACAAAATGTTGGTATAAAAGTGTTTATTTACATAATACTGAATGCAAACTAATGCTAAACAAAAACATGTTATCTTTATTTTACATCCTCTTCTTGAATCTCTTCTCTCTTTTTACCCTGATGAATTCAGTTTTTTTCATCCCCTCTTCTCTTCTCCTTCTTTGGCATAATCTATCTTCCGTCATTTGAGATTTGATTCTTTTAAAACAAGTTGAAAAATAAGCAAAACAGATCAGTAATCGTTTCAGAAAAAAATTAACTGTAACCGTGATTGAAGCCCCCCAAATTCAGACCCAGCCTTCTTCTTTTACAAAAGAAATCTGAAAAAACATGACATCTGTTACATCATGATTGTCATTTTTTTTTAATCTGCTTTTTTATACAAGAAAATCACAATTTCTCAATATAAAAACTTGTTACATGATGTAAGGTATTTTCATGAGACTATAATATGAGCACACATGAAATCATAAACATGGCAAGAAGATTCTCTTAGATTTCTACAATACTAAACTCCACTGTACTTATGACTATTTTGTGGTGTTTAGTATTTACACAAATACATGGGTATAAAACAATATATAGTTTACAAATCTTAAAGGTATGGCCACTTTTGGAAATGCCCCCCTCTCAAAAAATGAAATGGAAGCTCTTATTACCAATCATGTGAAAGAATATGTTTCGACTAATACGTGATGATACAAATTTTGCAGGGAAACCACCTTCTAATTGATATATTTGGTAATTTATCATAGCGATCCGGCCTGGATAGATATCAGGAATGCACTTCAACATTGAAAATTTGGGCATATTTTTTCTGCTTTTTTTGCAAATTTAGGTTGCAGTATTGCCATCTAAACCTCTGAAGGCAATATTTAAAAAATATTGAATGGATATTGTGCAACGAAAACCCTTGAACCACAATTTTACCACTACCGCTCTATACCTATAAAGACCCCACCCAGTGAATGCCGACCCTGTTCTCTGGTTCGAGAGACTGGGTAACAAAGACCGCCTCCTGGTCAGATGCACTCCTTTTTTTTTAAACCAGTAGTTTTCACAAGCAGAAAAAGAAAACAAAAAAAATCAATCCTCTTGCCCAGCTTGGTAATCTCTTATTAAGTGGAAGACCTTTTTTTTCCTTCATTCTTATGACTAAAGGAACTCTGCATATACATACTTATGCCTATCTTGTATTTTCTAATGTTTAAACAAATACATGGGTATAAAACAATGGTTTACAAATCAACATGCAAAAAGCATAGGTGGTATTGTATAATAATTGTTATGCATCTTTACCTCTCTCGTGATCACAGCTGTACATACATGTATATCAAATGGTTTGAATCCAACAAGAGAACTTTTCGAAAAAAAATCCTCTTACTTATTCTTGTGAGTTTTATGAACAGAAAGCACAAATGATATGATATTTGACAAAATGAAAATGTTTATCTTAAGAATCTCTATTCCACCCTTAGAGGAGATGTTGGCATATCCAACCTCAAAGCTCATCTTTGAGAATACAAGCGGTGGTAGCCTTTATTCAATGGATCAACCTGTACCCTGTATCCCTCGTCCAATACCGTAACAGTCACTTTCTACGCCTCTTCTAAGGTTGAGTAAGCCTTTTCAATTCCTTGATCATGCAAATATCTGTACTATTGCAGCGGCAGTTATCTTTTAAAACCTCTACTGAGGCAATCTCCTGGAGCCCTCCACCAGCCCTAGAGAAGGAGGTACAGCAGTCAATGTCAAAGTACATCACTAGAATACCAGATGCACTCTAGAATCCAGGGGGTGGGGCTACACCCCTTCCTAATCCCCTCCCGAGACCACGCCCCAGGCCACGCCCTAGACCACGCCCTAGTGCTAGTGGGGGAATCCCCCGTCCTGCTGCTCCTAATGCACCCATCTGATTGGTCAGCTGGTCCAGGGAGGCTTGATGGTTCATTGCACCTGGAGATGTGATGAAAAAAGATGGAAATTATTTAGGGATTGTTTGTCACATACTCCAGTAATAATTGCTCCATGGTCTTTTAAAGCCCATCTGTACTAGTTTACAGGAGGGATTAGACCACCCTGCAAGGTCACTGGACAGGTGGTTATCTCATCAACTCAGCTCTCAGTTAAAATAATAAAAAGAAGATCATAGGGGACCAATGGTTACTGATTAGGCATTGTTTGCTATAGAGGGAGCAAGTAGCTACAAGTAGTACAGTGGAGATTTAAAGTTTAAACGGAGTCCGAGCACAAATCTAACACCAACCTCAATACCATATCAGAGCCTGATACACAGCCCATGCCTGAATATAATATATCTGTGATGACATAAAGCTACAGCAAATGTGAGATCATCAAGTTTACAACTGCAGAGTGAATAGAAAACAGTAGAAAGAAGGGGATAGCGTGGGAGGGATAGAGATAAAATGAGAGGGAGGATGCGAGGTAAAGAGGGACTAACACAGAGGGTCATTGCCATGTACAATGAAAAATAAAGTAAGGCACATAGTAGATCTTACCTGGTTTTTGTTGAGGTATAGTGGTAACACTCTGCCATGCGGGGGTGGGAAGAGGAATGTGTCTGGGTGGCGGGGGCTCAGGAGGACCTGCATAACGACCGGAAGCACCTGTTAAAAAAGAATCCATATCAATTAATAATAATACTACTCAAAGTTTTTATATAGCCCTTATTACAATCACTAAGCGCTGCCAAACTTGGAGATTATTACCCCGGATTTAGCTGTGCTGCCATTACGGCGCTCTAGCATTTCAAAGAATTAATTCCTGCCAGGTACCCATTTACATCACCTGGGTTGAGTGTGGCAAATTCCTGCTTAAAATTTTTCCCCAGTCTCCTTAACCCTATGTTAACTGGGGGGGGGGGGGGTCAATTTGACCCCCCCCCCTGTAGAAATTTCGCGACTACTCCGAAACCACGGCAGATATAAAATTTTCCTTTCACGACTTTTTACTTTCGAGTCTTACGCATCTTTTAAACCTATTTTTTCGAAAATCGGACCTACGGTTACAAGGTCACGTGACCTTTTGTCTTAGCATGTCAGCCCGAAAATCGCTCATTTTCGTGATTTGTGTACAAAACGTATGTAAAAGTCATTTTTCCTAAAAATAGATAAAACATTCGTTATTCAGTCTTGTTTAAAGTTTAGATGTTTGTTTTGGGGTCAAAATAGTTGAATTGTAGTTATATATGAAATAAAACAACAAAAACAATAAAATACATAAGTTAAAAAAACAATGAAATACATAAGAAATTATAAAAACAAGAGATAACATAAGGAATAACCTGGCTCTTCCAATTTGTTGTGTTGTATTATTATTCCAAATGGTCTAATAAATTTATGTAGTGAAAAAGAATACGTAAACATGAATAATCTATGATTTATGGGCAGAAATGTGAATTTGATGACCTTATTTGCATAAATTACCATAAATATGCAAATGAGTGAATTTTTCAAAAATTTGAAATTACCATAGTATTCTATACACTTCACTTGACATGCATGCAAATTTTTGCGGCGATCGGCGATGAAACGGCCGAAATCTTAGGGGGGGGGGGGTCAAATTGACCCCCACCAGTAAAAACCTGGTCTGAAATAGCCCAGTTAAAATAGGGTTAATGAAGGGCTAGACACTACTGTAAAACCAAACCTCATGAACTTTATAGAAGTTTCACGCCAAGAAGGAAATCAATCACATAACTGAATATCTGCATTCTGAACAAAGTGTTTCACCACAAATAATCTCTGTTTTCAATTTCAGAAAGTATCATAATTATCACTTTTAATAATAATAATAATAATAATAACAATATTTATAAAGCGCAACATATCCATCTCTAGAAATGCTCAAGGCGCATACAAATAATTAAAATTAATATTCAACATAAATTTAACAATATGCATTGAGCATTGAGCTTGGTAAGACAAATATAATGATTACATTCATAGCTTGGACTAAATATCAGAGACGGGCCATTAAGGAAATGAAACGTCCAACCATACAGCAAGGAAAAAAAGAACATCAATGATGAAGATGATGATGGAAATGGTTACAGTGATAATGATCGTGATGATAGTGATGGTGATGATGATAGTGATGATGATGATAGTGATGATGATGATGATAGTGATGATGATGATGGTGATGATGATGATGATGATGGTGATGGTGGTGATGATGATGATGATGATGGTGATGATGATAGTGATGGTGATGATGATGATGATGATGATGATAATGGTTATGATGATGATGATGGTGTTGATTAACGATGATGATGATGATGATGGTGATGAAAATGGTTATGATGATGATGATGATGATTGATGATTATGATGATGATGATGATGATAATAATGATGACATTGATTAATGATGATGATGATGATGATAAAGATATACATCCACTTGCCATGAATCTATTCACGCCTTTACATGATATTGACCCTTACCTGCAACACCTTCCGTGTCATGGTTATTCGTAGGCTCAGGAATGTTAGGCTTGGGTTGTGACACCACGTGAGCTATACCTGGAAGGTAAGGAAAACAAATAAAACAGTGACTTAAAGTTTACCAACAAACATATAACAAACAGCAATAGCAAACTTATCATTTTCATATTCAGCAACATTAGCAGTGAGGACAAATACTTGCTTCAACATACAATATTCCTACTCTTCAATTCCATTCTATATCACTATATAGTGATATATCTATATCTATATTTCTTCAAAATAAAGGAATAATACAATTTTGTGAAGGCCATGAATGATCTGAAAGGGTTTTGTGAAATGAAAGTCGATTTTATATCGTGTGGAATTGCCAATAGAGTCATATTTGCACGAAACACTTCTGAGTATTTCAAAGGGTGATGAGCGAGACTTTAACGAATGCATAAGAGTTAATTTCTTTGAAAGTGGATCAAATCGTAAATTAAAGATAAATTAAAGAAAATGAATTCTTACAGAATCAATGTACACTGAATGTTCAAGATTACAAATAAATGTCAATTGCCAAACAATTTTGGTAAAAATGTATACTGGCTGAGTAATGAGAATAGAAAGATAAGGAAATCAAGGTATACTAGCCCAAACATTTGTGTAGTCCCATATACATCTTTCTGTGTACAGTTCTTGTTACTTTGCCAAGACTGGGCCAAATTTATTATGATTTTGATGACTCCAAAACCTTGCAGTACACACCAATACTTATATACTAGATGATCAACCTTTTCTGATCGCTTCCACACAGTTTCTTTCACAATGCAATTGCATGACCAGAACTCAACTTTATCTTTAAGCAAGAATCAAAACTATGACAGGTACATATACAAAAGTGTAGTAAGTAAAACTACGAACTGAATGAGAAATTCTGTTTTCGTACTAAATAAACATACCTATAGTTGATGGCTGACGCAACGGTTTGTCTTCATATGACGCAATACGCTGAGCCTATAAAATCAATACAGCACATTCAAAATGAAAAAGTGAGAGAAAGTGAGAATCTATAATCTGCTTATAGATCTTCTCATAGCGTTGAAACTGCTCTTTTACGTGTATATAATGATTTGTTGTTAGCTGTGGACCAAGGTGATGAAGCTGTTTTAATACTTTTAGACTATTCTGCGGCTTTCGATACTATCAGTCATGATGTTTTTCTTGATCGCTTACGTAATAGATATGGTGTATCAGGTACTGCCTTGAATTGGTTTAAAACCTACTTTATGAATCGTTCACAATCTATTGTCATTAATGACTCATTATCCAAACCTCATGTTCCACTTGAAGGTGTTCCTCAGGGATCCGTCATCGGCCCTTTATCATTTACTCTGTACACTGCACCACTTGAAGATATTATTGAAGCGCATGGTTTAGGCCGAATGATATATGCAGATGACACCCAAGTTTATGTTGTTTTGAAACGTGATTCCGACCATTCTGTTATTACTAAACTTGAAAGATGTATAAATGATATCAAAGCTTGGTCCACTGCTAATGATTTGAAGTTAAATGAGGATAAAACCGAGGTTATACATGTAACATCTCGATTCAGAAAGTCCTCCCATTTACCATCTGTCGAAATTGCTAATGTTCCGATACAACCTGTCAAAAGTGCACGTAACCTTGGTGTCATCTTTGAAAATGATCTTAGGATGGATGATTATATAAAAAATATTTGTCGCTCAGCTTCATATGCCTTGTACAAGATAGGTGGTATTAGAAATTTTCTTGATAAAAAATCTACCGAAACGCTTATACATGCATTTATTACATGCCGTCTTGATCAATGCAACAGCCTTCTTTATGGCCTTCCGGAGTCGCACATTGCAAAACTCCAGAGAATCCAAAACTCTGCTGCCAGGCTTGTAACACGCACACGTTCTTGTGAACACATCACCCCAGTACTTCGCGAATTGCATTGGTTGCCGGTGACGTACCGCATCATGTACAAAATCTTAGTTTTAACTTATAAATGCATTCATGAATTGGCACCAATTTATCTGCAAGAATTAATCGAGGAATACAAACCCTCACGCAATTTACGGTCATCTTCACAATTAAACCTCGTATCTACTTCTGTGTCAACTCTCTCTTATGGTAATCGCTCCTTTCGCAAAGCTTCTGCTGAACTTTGGAACAAATTACCTTTAAATGTAAAAAACTGTCAAACCGTTAACCTATTCAAAACTAGTCTCAAGACACATTTATTCAAAATTGCGTTCGATGATTAATTATCTCTGTTCACTTTGATGTGTATTCCATATGTATTGTTATTTGTAGGTTTATTTGCATTTTTAGTTTTGTATAAGATGTAATTGTATATCAGTCTATTTTGTGTGTATAGCGCTTAGAGACTTCGGTGGTAAGCGCTTTATAAGTAACGTTTTTATTATTATTATTAAGAACAACATAGAGTGGATTGAACCTAGCTAAAATTAGATGACTTTTGAGAATATGGGCAAAAGAGCAGGTGTCATGTGGTGACCAGTCTAAGTTGTATACAAGAATCAGTCTTGATACCATCATCAACATAGTGTCACACACATCATAGGATTGTAAAACTAAAAGTAAATTTGTAAACAGCATATCTTATTTCTACTTTGTAAACTGACCCTTTCAGCAGATACCGGGTCAGTCTTTAAAAACCAATACATATTTATTTATGCAGTAAAATATGTGTTAGCCCCCAACTGTCCATAAAGGCCACCTGTCTATAGTGGTCAACTATAGTGCCTACCTCTAGGAGGAAATTTAGGCGAACATGTCTATTAAAGGGATCCGGTAACTTTGTCTTAGATCCTTTAGAAATAATCCTTGATTTAGCTCATGCTGCAATGATAATTATAAACCTTTAAGTCAGTCAGGAACGCCTGTCTGATTATCAAGATATTAATGATTGGAATTACAAATTTTGAAAACCGTTCGCTGAACGGTTTTCATAACACTACCGTCTATTGGGGAAAACGAGTATGGTAAAACTGGTCACTCAAAGATTTTTACTTTTTTGAGGCACTTCTTGATCATCTTGAAGCGCAATTTTTTTTAGGGCTTCAATATTACACCATATCACAGACACTGGTAACATGTAGGACTGTGTATCTCAGATTTAACATTGTTAAACGATCCCTTTAAGGACACCCAAGGGAAACACGAAAAGAGGCCGCTGTAGACAGGTGGCCA